CTTTTACATCACGGTAACTAGGCTCTACTGCTGCAGTTTTTCTGTCAAAGAGAATTAATGCTCTTGATGCTTCCATCAGTCCATAACTTGTTTTTAAATTAGCCATTTCATAAGCTCTGTTACTAACAAATACATTTTGCTTCACTTAGATTTCTCATTTGAAGAAAACTAGTTATGTCTCTAATCTGATAACTGATTTCAGGGGGTTAAAATTTAGACTGAGAGGTGACTTCAGTTTCAGGTCATTTGCTCTGTTGAGAAAAGTTACACACAGTAAAGCAGAGCCAGAGTTGTGTATGCTGCCCTTTATGAACATCAAAACTGCCTCTTTCAGCAAACATGAGATCTATTTCAAATTCCTTTACAAAACAATAGAATTGTTTTTTTAAGTTATGCTTACTGATGATGACAGAATCTTACCTCTTTATTACCTTCACATAGGAAATTATAATTAATTATATACTCCACGCTTACTTAATCATTTTCAGTTGGCTATCCTTCCAGATTTGCTATGTGTAACATTACTTGCCTATGGCAAAATTTTATGAACTCCAATATGTACCACATGTTCACCTTGTTTACAATTAATTGCAGGCATTGTATTTACCATTAATGTACATCTTTATTGGCTTTAATTTCCCATCTGTGTTGCTTTATTATACAGCTTGCTTTATCAGTTTAACTGCACACTGCTTCTGAGGTAACAACAGCCACCAAACCTTGCTTTTGTATTTTACCTTTTAGTATAATTATAGTTTTCTGGGTTTTAAAAGCAGTGAAGTAATCTGAAAATACATTATTTATATTCATTATTTGGAAAATCAGCTGTAAAATGCTGCCTGAGATCTAATAGAGAAAAGAATAAAGTAGCCAAGGCTTGCATGAACAAAAAGGTTTTCCTGTTTAAGAGCAAATCTCTGAAAAAAGGCTTTGTTGTGGCAATCCATCTTTAGTCTGAAGAAAAGGGCAACAGCCCCACTTACTAGCCAAGCAGCTTTTTGAGGATAGTCCCACAAGCAATCCACATTTCCTACCAGTTTGCACACAGACACATCTGAGGTAGCTGGAAAGCCCCATCTAGTTCCAACAGAGAAATGAAACACAACAAGCCTCAGCACAGAAAAGCTATTCAGCATGTGCTAAAAAAATCTGTCATCGGTTTATTGTGCAGGTATCTAGCTGTATGATACACAGATTAAACAAATTAATGCTAATTAGAGTAAGTCTACAGATGTTTTAAGTACCTTTCCAACTGTAAGGTGCAGATATCCTAAGAATTACAGCAAAGTGGTTTTTTTAAAATTTTCACAGCTAAAATACAAAGTGTTTAGAAATGAACAAGAAGGAAAATGAAATAAAACTAGGAGCAGAAGGTGTACAAGGTGAAAACAATCTTTTGCCTGATGAAGTATTGAGCTGGGGGGATGTAGCTCTGTATATTGGTTCCTGAAGACCTTAAAAGGCTGCAAAATCACCACTCCTTCTGAACAAAAGGCTAAAGAGAAGCAAAGAGTGGCAGCAGCCTGGCACAGCACTCCAAGCTCCCTCCCCTGTGCAGTAGGAAGACACACTCACAAGGAAGGCTGTCACCTTCCATCTCCTCACTACCCATCCCCAGCTGTACAGGGGGCTCAAACTACGGCAACACCTGCTGGAGCGCACCTGGTAGGGGCAAAAGGTGATGACCCAACGAGCTGAAGCCCTGCTGGCCATTTCATAACCTCACAGCAAGGGGAAAAGTGCCCCCAGCCCCAGGGCCACTCCTTCCCGGCAACCAGGTTTGTGCACTTGGGTTCATTTCGCCCACACGGCCCCTGGACACACAAAGTCGAGCAGGAAAGTGTTCCACAGCAGGCTGACCGTCCGTGGATGGACGGGACGGGCCCTGCCGGGGCGGTTCGGGCCCAGCTGGGGCGGTTCGGGCGCGGTTCGG